CTGTGTTCCCGTGTTCCCCCCAAGTGCCTGGGCTGCCCCTCGGGATACATATGGTCCGCAGGCCCATCGCTTCATTCCGCTGCCCGCACGTGCTCGCTGTGGGGAGGCGCGGACGGGGCAAGACGGCGCGGCCTCGGCATCCCTCTGCCCGAAGGGAGGAGGCGAGGAAGTGAGGATGTGGGAGGGGTGATGGAGAGAATGGGGCCGAGGCGCAAGACGAAGGCACGACGGGGACAAGCTCGGATGAGGATGAGTCAGGCTTCTCTGCGACCCGGCGGGTCTGGAGGATGTATCAGGCGCCGCGGCCGTTCCCAGAGCTAACGCTCTGGAACGATTCATCCTCATCCCAGGCCTGCCGAAGGGGGGCAGGGAGGGTGGGGGGGCGAGGTCGACGCAGGAACAGGAACAATAAATTCGACCTGCCTGCATCAGCTCGGCGCCGGGGTGCATGCCAGGAGGGAGGTCTCTGGTGGGATCCCGAGGGGTTCTCAGACTTTCCGACTGTTCTTTGGGGTCTCGACGGACCCTGGGGGCTAGGAGGAGGGGTGAGGGGGGACGGCGGAGGAGGAGGCCACGGAGGAGGAGGAGCAGGAGGAGGAGGAGGAGGAGGGGGAGGAGGAGGAGGAGGAGGACGAGGAGGAGGAGGAGGAGGAGGAGAAGGAGGAGGAGGAGGGGGAGAAAAGGAGGGGGAGGAGGAGGAGGAGGAGGAGGAGGAGGCCGAGGAAGAGGAGGAGGAGGAGGAGGAGGGGGAGGAAGAGGGGGAGGAGAAGGAGCGGGAGGAGGCGGAGGAGGAGGAGGAGGCGGAGGAGGAGGGGGACCAGTGTAAAACCAAGAGTCATCAACGATGTTGGAATTAACCCTCCCTCCAAGCTCCCTCTTCATACGCCCCCAAAACGGCTCATTTCCATTGAGGGAACTGCCTCGTTGGAATACAACCGTTTGAAGATCCTGAAGCATGCCAAAACATGGTTCTCGCGATTGCAACGCCACGTATCACCCTGACTGCTGCGTCTTGGCGATCGAGAATCGTGCCAGAGCGCATTTTTGGGACTTCGACACCGCGAATCAACGTAACTGCTACACCCGCATAATCCTGAATCCTTCCAAAACGCTATTTCTGGCACGCTGATCACTGGAATCCGTGAAATTCTGTGAAATTCTTGAGACGAATGAGCGCGGTGCTAAGGCGAGAACCACCTCTTGAAAACCACCCGCCTTCAATCCGTGAAACTCTTGCAATTCTTGAGAAACGAATGTGCGCGGCGCTTAGGCGAGAACCGCAATTTGAAAAGGAACCGCCCTCAATCCGTGAAGCTTTTGCAAATGTTCAAAACGAATGTACGCGGCGCTAAAGCAGGAGCCACATCTTGAGACGACCCGCCCTCAGTCCGTGAAGCTCTTGAAAGTGTTTAGAACGAATGTGCGCGGCGCTAGAAGGTGAGAGCCACATTTTCAAAACCACCCGCCTTCAATATGTTAAACTCTTGACACTAATTAAAACGAATGTGCGCGGCGCGAATGCGAGAGCCACATTTTGAAAACGACCCGCCCTCAATCCATGAAGCTCTAGCAGATGTTTAAAACGAATGCGCGCGGCGCTAGGGCGAGAGCCACATTTTGAAAGCCACCCGCCCTCCATCTGTGAAACTACTGTTAATGTTAAAGCTGCTGCGTCATAAATTGTGAGGAAGTCTCAAGCGAAACGCCTGGCCCGCCCTGAAAGCTGGCCTCGGGGTGCGACAGGGAGGAGCTATCTATAAGGAGAAGGAATGGAGGGGAGGAGGAGGAGCAGGAGGAGCAGCAGGAGGAGGAGGGGGAGGAGAAGGAGGAGGAGGAGGAGGAGGAGGAGGAGGAGGAGGAGGAGGCGAAGGAGGGGGAGGAGGAGGAGGATGAGGAAGAGGATAATGATGAGGAGGACCAGGAGGAGGAGGAGGCGAGGTACCCAGACATCCGCCGAGGCGCTTGTGCTCGATCCGCGGCCCAAGAACTCCCGATCCCTGGGGGGAGTTTCTCATCCCGGGTCCGCTCTTGATGGCCAAGGGGTCCGACAGCGGGCCCCACCTATCGGGGAGGCACAAGCATGGACTAGCCATGCATGGATTTGGCGCGCGGTCGCCATATCCATGGGCCGGGGGAGGTGCCCTCCCCAGAAGGCGGCTGGTGCCGCCTCGCTCGGCGGCGGGAATCCGCGATTTCCCATGGAAGCGGGGCCCGTCGCCAATCCACGCCCCCCTCGATCCATCTTTGCGGTCGCCGGAATCTACTGGGAGACACCGCGCGGATTGCACAAGTCAGCACGTCGGGGATCTGGGGACGCCGGACCCAGAACCCCCTCGGATAATCAAAAAATCAGGACGGGAAATTGTTTGCTATGTTCGGCCTATGGGGGCCCTTACTGGCCCTCGGGACCGTCAACAAAACGACTCAGGATGAAAACCCGGTCCAGGGGAAGGGGTCGAGACCTCCAGGGGTCGACGCAATTAAGACATCACGACGCTGGGGGTCTGGGGAGAGAGGGCGGATGGAGGGAGGGAGGCCTGGCCGAGGACTGCGGAGGGGCCCACGTGTGCCTGTACCCGCCCCTCCGTCGGCGTGCTCGCAGCCTCTGGCGAGAGAACGGGCAGGGGGCCACATGCGAACCCTGCCCCCTGCCCCCCACGATCTCTGAGAGGGAGGGTGGGGCTTCACTCCGCTCGGGAGCTCCCGAACGAAGTGAACCCCACCTTCCCCCTCAGAAATCGTGGGGGGTTGGGCCCTCCCCCTCAGAAACTGTGGGGGGTAGGGGTAGGGTTCGCACGTGGCCCCCCAACGGGCCAGCGCAGTGGGGCCCGCGCGGGCGCTCGGGGCGCCGCTGCTGCCCTGCGCGCGAGGGGAAAAAAGCGCCGCCCGGCTCCCCGACGAGGCGCCTCTCTCGACGAGGCGCCCCGCCGCCCCGTTCTCCGACGAGGTGACTCCGCCGCGCGAGCGGGCCCCGGGGCCACCACGGGAGCACAGCTCCGGGGCGCCAAAAGGCTCCCCCCCCCAGGGGAAGGGGTCCCAGACGTGCTCGCGGCGCTAATCAAAATCAGGACGGGAGGCTTTCGGCCAATTCCGGCCTCGGGGGGGGCCCTCGCCGGGCCTCGCGGGGCCGTCGAAATTTTGAAATTCACGACGCAGGAGGAAGAGCCGGTCCCGGGGAAAGGGTCGGGACTTCCGGGGGCCCCGTCCTGAAAATCTGCAGGGCGTCGCACGTCCGGGGTCGGGAGGCTTCTGGGGCCGCGCCACGAGCAGAGCACGCCGCGTCGGATGTCCGGGAAGGCGGCGGAGGCCCCAAAATGTAGCTCCACGGGCCGAATGCGCAGAGGCGTCGCTCCCACCTGTGCGCGGGGGGGGCGGCCGCCGACCGAGCCTCCCCGGCCGCCGGAGCAGCCTCGCCCGCGGGGCCCAGGGTCGGCGCCTATACGACCTCCTTGGAGGGGCTCCCCAGGTCCCCCACCTTCTTCAACATCTTGCCTGGGCTCTCCTCTTCCCTCCACCCACTTCCAAGAGTTTCCCTTCTTGTCCCGGGGATCGACGATTCGTTGTGTGTGTGTGTGCGCGTGCGTGTGCGTGTGCGTGTGCGTGTGCGTGTGCGTGTGCGTGTGCGTGTGCGTGTGCGTGTGCGTGTGTGTGCGT